GTAAACATCAGATTTGGGGTTGCAGAACCACAAACCCAAATGGAAACCGTTTGTTACGACTTACAAATAACTCAAACGTAATGATTGATGCGCCACAAGAACCAACACATTTCCCATGGCAACCTAATTATCAACCAGATATACTAGATTTGGTTTTGCACAAAAACATTACAGCTCCAATCATTCAAAATGTTTTACCCGAGCTGGACTCTGACCATTCTCCCGTTATAGTAACCTTCTTCACGCAACCTCAATTTAGTTGTCCACCTCAACGATTAATTAATGGAAAGATAAATTGGGAAATTTTCAGTGCAGAATTGGATAAATGTTTAGAAGGTATGCCTAAATTATCGTCTTGCATCGAAATAGAAAACTCTGTAAAAATATTTACCGAATCATTGAAAACTTGTGCCAGGAAAGCTATCTTAAATCCCTCACGATCCACGCCAAATAACGACTACTATCATCCTCCGATGAGAATAATGCGTCTGATTAGAGAAAAACATAAAGTTAGACGACTTTGGCAGCGATACCGTCTACCACACTTTAAAAGGCAACTCAACGAACTGGGAAGACGAGTGAAAACAGAACTCGAGGAATTTAGAATAGACAACTATAAGAAGGATGTTTCTGATATTAATCCGAGTGACCCAAATATGTGGAAAGCAACTAAACGTCTTTTAAGTACTCCTTCGATCATACCTACGTTGAAAAAAGACAACCTAATCTGTGAGACTGATTCACAGAAGTGTGAACTGTTGGCAGATTTTTATGAAACTACATTTCAACCCACTGATCTTGCTGATTATGGTGACGATGAGATGGTGAAAGAAACTTTGAATGGACAATTTTTATCTGCTGAACTACCAATAAAGTTTGCATGCCAATCTGAAATTAAAGCAGTAATTAAAAAACTTCCACTCCGTAAATCACCTGGCCATGACCTTATTCCTAATATTATTTTGCGAAATCTCACCAACAAAGGCTTTTCATATTTCACATCAATTATTAATGCATGTTTGTCTAAATCTTACTTACCTTCTATTTGGAAGCATGCGGAAATGTCAGTTATTCATAAACCCAATAAACCGAAGTCTTCTCCATCGAGTTACCGTCCAATCAGCTTACTTTCTACGCTTTCTAAAGTCTTTGAAAAAATCATCTTGAAACGAATTGCCTGTTACATGGATGCTGCAAATATAATTCCTGCTCATCAATTTGGATTTCGGCCAAAACATTCGCCCACACATCAAATCCTACGAATATATGAAACGATAGTCAAAGGGTTTGAGAGGAAACAACACACAGTAACGGCATTTCTTGACATATCTCAGGCATTTGATAAGGTATGGCATGACGGTCTTGTCTTTAAATTGATTAATTTCGAATTTCCAAAATATTTAACCAGTATTGTAAAATCGTTTCTCCGTCACAGGACCTTCTCTGTTAAAATTAGTTCTTCCAAATCATCTGTACGACGAGTCAATGCAGGAGTTCCACAAGGTTCAATTTTGGGCCCTGTATTGTTCAATCTATACATGGCAGACATCCCTCTTCCAGAAGACGCCTCATTAGCTCTCTACGCCGACGACACTGCTATCCTGTGCCAACATTCCGACATCCACGAGGCCACGTATTCCCTGCAATACTCTGTGGATCTTCTCATTGATTGGTTCTACAAGTGGAAATTTCGCCTAAATTCAACTAAATGTGAGACAAAAATATTTTCCTTGAAAAAACATACATTGCCACATGAAATTCAAATATATGGTAACTTTCTACCTTGGAACCCTGATGACCAGGCCATAAAATATCTTGGAGTATGGCTGGACAAAAAACTTAATTGGAACTACCACGTTAATCAAAAACTGTCCCAAGGTTATGCACGCCTTGCAAAGCTTTTCCCTTTAATCATTAGGAAATCTACTCTGAAGCCAGCTTGTACAGTTCTAATCTACAAATCAATAATTCGGCCCTTGATTACATATGACTCCTATCTGGGGATTAGCTATATCAAAAAACAAACTCTTCAAAATTCAAGTGATTCAAAACAAAATTCTAAGAATAGCGGTGAATGCTCCCTGGTTTGTTAGAAACAGGCATATACATGAAGAACTAGGAGTGGAGTCTATCTCGGCCTTTATTGAAAAAACCACCTCAAAATTTCTGACATCTTTAAACAATGTTCCTGGTGCATTAACTTTTCATCTTGGTGAAGCAACTGAGAACAGGAGGTTACGTCGAAGGCTCCCTCAAGATCTATTGGATGAATGAAGCCTAAAGACGATTAAATTATTCTCTAAATTAATTATGTTACAGAGGGTGTACCAGGTTTGGGCGAACCCACGATGTTATTATAGTTAATTTCTTTTTAATTTTGTTAACACTTCTGTGTATAATGTCTACATTGAACCAGAAATAAATGCTGTAAAAAAAAGTAAATAAACAAACACCTGTTAAAAACATCAACCAGCTGTTGCATTTTCACTAATTTTACCATTTAAACTTTGTGAGAAATCCTGCAAGCCCCTTGGCAAGTCAATAAAAAAATGCTTCACAAAGGACAGTGGAATTCCGACAGTTGAAGAGGAAATAACAAAATGTCACCAACAATGAACTTCAAACAAAGAACAAAATGTAGTGTAAAATATCTAAAGAAGCTAGAAAGATCACCCTAATCACCTGGATCCAAACCTCCTGGACAATAGTACTGCTACATACATAAAGAACTCATGTTAAGCACGGGCAAGCATGTTCGCAAGCCTGTTGGCGAAAAAAAAATAGTTTGATCGACATATATCCGTAAACAAGCAATTTACAACAGTTTACTTATTCTCCATAAGAACAACATGGAATTTTTTTACAAATCACAAATTTGACATTCAAATAATTTACAATTTTTTGCATATCCTCATAACCAATAACCGTAAAAAGACAGTTATATATACTAAATTATTTTTAATTTTAAGCCCTTTAAAATAGTTTGAAGAGAAATTGGGAAATTGTATGTTTTGAGGGTCAAAAATGAGAAAAACTTATGTTTACCCCAAAATACTTTAAAAAATTAACCTCCGTTCCCATGGTCCGATCATGCTGGTTCGCAAACTCATTCAAGTTTATCCCGATTTACACCTTCAAGCCAAATTTCCTGAAAATCTGACAAAAATTACTCAAGCTATCGTGTTTACGGACGTATATAAGTCTATAAAAATATATACATAGAAAAACTTGAACGACTAGTTTTTTTTTTTTTTGCTTCTTAGGGAAGCGACATCAAAATGAAAAAGCATATTGGTCCTGGGACCAGGTCTTAACATGCCACCTATAAGGTCATAACTACTTCCCTATAGAGAAATTCGCTAAAATTACCTGATGATCACTGAAGACTGTTTCAAAGACATTCTCGTACTTATTTATCATACGTGTTTTACATGTACGCTCGCGAACATGTTGGTCGTCCCCACAGACGGGCAAGCATGTTCGTTTTGGGGCTCGGGCTTGCCGGGTCCGACGACTGGGACGGTGGCGTCATCCTGTAATCCAGCTACTAGGAGGTCACGAGTTGTGGAAATTTATAGGCATGTAATGTACTGTGGATGCGATACTCCCTGATGTGGATTAACGTCCGCACTAGTGAGTACTACAACTATCCGCAGTACTATCCTGATAATTAGACCAATTTGTTAATACCAAGGCAAAAATGTGGTTCGGATTCCACTATAAACTGTAGGTTCCTTAGTTGCCACAGCTGTATGGGCTATTAATTAACAGCTGTGTCTAAGGAATATGTCGCACTTAGTCACTATCAAGACTACAAGATCACGCCACTCATCCTGCACTCATATTTGGGTTAAAATACGCACATAGTGGGTATTTACTCAGGGGAGGTATATAGGACCTACGATGACAGCTGTGGGCTTAGCTGAGGGAACACCATTACCGTAACAATACGGTGTTTCGCTATCGGCCTCGCTGGACTAGTGGTTAGCGTGCCGTGCTTGTAAGCTCAATGTCCCGGGTTCGAATCCCGCTGGCGGCACTAACTTATTGTCTAAGATTTTTTCATTATCAGCAAGTTTGGTTGGTTTGGTTCGGTTATGTCAGTTTCATTTATTTTAGTTTATTATCAAGTCATTATAAATTTTTAATTGAGTAATTTCTAGTTTTATTTAATGAACAGAATTATTTTTTCTATTAGTAAACTTTTTTTTTATTATTTCATTATCAGCAAGTTTGGTTAGTTAGGTTAGGTTATGATGGTTTAATTTTATAATCAAACAATTATAAAATTGAATATGAGGTATTTATAATTTTATTTTATGAACAGAACTATTTTTGCGATTAGTATTAGTAAACCTTCATTTCCAAAGTGCTCTCTACTACAGCGCTGTTCACGGAGGAATTTTGAACTAATGCCTCATTCGTACCTCCCCTAAGTCAGACCCCACATAGTGGCGTCCCCATTTTAAATAAATGATTGATTGATTGATTGACCAAGCCGAGCGCAAAACCCAACATGCTCGCCGGTTGGAAGGCTCGCAGACTCCATACACGACCTGCCTTGGATAGAGACTAACTAACATTTTATTATTTGTTATTTTGCTGAATGTTAAAAAAAAAACTGAACGGAATGTAAATAAAATTGTGATAAAAAATATGTAAAGCGTAGCACTTTGGAAAAGGCCTATGGAGCAGAGCCTTTAGAAAACTCGTTCTTATACCAATACTTTTTGGCAAATCTATACACTCTAAGCTTGATTTTAATGTGCCATATGCTTATATTTTTATTTGGTATAAGGCCGAAATAAACTATTACTGTACCACAAATTTGACTGTATCACTTTAAAGATACCAGTATTTTTATAGATATAGATTAGATAAGTTGTTAGTTGTAACATCTTTACAGGCTATAGTTAATGTATAAACATCTACTTAACTAAAATAACATACGTTAAATGCCTATAGGTTTCTGATAAAATCGTAAACATTGTATGTTGCAGCTGTTGACATGCCCTGGTACCAGTTGTGGCTTCTAGATGTATTGCTAGTAGTGTGTGCTACCTTCACAGCTCTTTTGATAGCAGTGTACTGGATGGCCAAGTGCATTACAAAGATGGTTAATAGACTTTTCTTTTCCAAGAAGACAAAGAACAAAAAAGAATAATCTTCTGTTGTATAGAGTTAATATTACCTGGTTGATATTTTTTTCTGTTTTTTAGTACAACGACATCTTCAAGTGTATCACATACCGGTAATTCTCTATTGATTGACTGATCATTTCAAAACAAAATCCTTGAATAAACTTTCTTATTCTGCTAAACCTCATGCCAACATTCACTGTGATAAATATTCAGTTAGTTTTTGATCAGACTGATTTGTTTTGTATAAATGTTCGTCTAAGTTAATGCAATGGTTTTGATTTTACAATGACAAATTGTCAGAGAATTTAAGAAGAGGTTGAGAATTTTATTTGTCAACCTAAAAAATTTGGCTGTTCTGAAAAATTAAAATCAGACAAAAAAAATAAAAACCACAAAAAATACTTCACACCTAATTTACGTGTGTAGGCCTACTGTTTCGGTAGTAATGTTGGTGATTGACATTACTTCTTTATGTCTGTGATAGTACACAGTCCATCAAAACATAGGCATATTAAAATTTTGAAATAATTTAGATGATAAAAAATGTACGAAGTGGGAAAATGAATATATAGTACAATACAAATATTTTAAATATTAATCACACATGTATTGGAGTTATTGATTTAAAAAATACTTTTTATATTTTTGTATGTTAATAAACACTTAACAGATTTGATTCCTATAACTAGAACTGATTTGTAATATAAAGTGGAACCTTAATAACAAGTCACCCTGAATAACAAATGTAATTTTCAAATGTTCTTGATTTTGTATATCCTATATCTGTCTGCCGTTCAAAGACTCGCCTGTCTCATCATCACTGGCGCGAGATGAGCAGCTGTCCGCCTTCTCAACCTAACTCCAATTAACCTGAATGTCAAGGTCACTACGAGGAAGACTGCATAACAAGACTCCAGTCTGAACCTTTTGTTGGATGTAGGAGGGTTCCAAAGTCACTCTCAGATTTCTCAGACAGTAAGAGGGGATATACTGGACATGCCCTCGGACCACATGCAGAATCGTTTGATTCTTCTTCGCCAGATCATTCAAAATCTTTCTTCCATTCAGGGATGAGTGGTTAAATAAATATTAATATACAGGTAGTCTGGCACTACATCGCCTATGTCTAATCAGCTGACTGGATTTGCGCGCTTTCTAATTTTATTTTTTAGTTTCTAATTTTGTTTGTATTGCATCAAATTCAGTACACTATGTAGGCATACCAAATGTTTGCTTGATAATTCAAACAATGTCAACCGGTGTAGTAAACTCTAGAAAATTGTCCAATAAAATGCAGGGTGTCAGTAGATACCAAATTGGATTCATAACATACCATATTATCACAGTAGTGTATGGTTCAGAAACTTGGGCACTGACCAAAGAACCGAAAACCCCTATTGCTGAGTTTGAGAAATAGATTGCAGAGAAAATATACGGGCCATTTATGATGGCAGAGGTTGAGATACGAAAGAACAGCGAGCTAAGAGGAATATTTAAACACCCAGATATGCGTGGGGGAGAGAATTGATACATTAACATTTAAAAATTTATTCCAATGAGTACTACAAATAAGACTACCACTTGGAGGACCAAGCAAAGAAAGACTTCTCCAGACTGTGATCAACATTAGCAGGGAAAGAAGAGAAAGGGAGGTCAAAATCCTCTTAAGGTTTCAGTGGTCACTGAGGTAAAATAAGGAACGGTAAGTGATAATTAATATGCAATTAAAGGTGATATGTAGCTGCTTTAAATTAAACCATCCAGTGAGAAGAAAAAAATGAAAAAGCATCAAATAGGGGTACAGTAAATTTTATACTAGGATAAGAGGTTTACTTGCAAAGTAAATACTAGTGTAGGCCTACCTGTTGCTCGAATTCTAGTAATTAAGAAGTATTACAGGCGTTATTTTAAAACCAATAACAGTCATAATTTCCGATGACTTTAAAAGAGTCGACTCAAAGATTATGGAAATACTCACGATGTACATAAGAGTTCGATATAATCAACATTTCTTGTAAATATCTTACCATTTTCAAAAGCTGATCTTTGTAAAGTAAAAAAAAGAAAATCTCTGACTTATATATTTAAATAAGTATTTAAATATATATTACTTGCAAATACTCTGACTCTCAACTGATTGGTTCTTTACAAATCTTGGTTGCCCCTGAGTTGGAAAAACAAAGTGAATAAAAATAAACAACAGAGCGTTGGCAGTGGAAGCTTGGTGTTAAATAAAAATCGAGTGAGCCCTGTGGAATAAAATTATCCCCAGAAGTTCTTAGGGGACGTTCCTGGTACTGTTTTTAGTTCTTCCAATGCTGAAAACAATCTTAAAACTACAATGACTCTACTTTGCACACTACCACACTCAATTTAGTGTTGCACTAAATGCCTGTCTCTCAAATTACAAGATTTGACCGATCATCAAAAAGAAACGTGCCTTTGTCCTAGAATTATAAAGACATACAACAAATTCATGGGAGGAGTGGATCTTCTAAATTCCCAAGTTTCCAGAGACCCTCCATCAAAAAAGAGGACAATTATGACTCGCGGAACTTATCTTGAAGGGGGAGGGGTCACATATTTTTTTTTAATTTACAATTACTTTTATGCGTTTTAAGGGCTTTCAAAAATGTTTTTAGACTACAGTATTTAAAGATAGGTTCTAGAACTTTCAGCATTTTGGAATTTTTAAACTGAATATTGTCTGACAATTCCTAAAAACATATAGCCTATATTGTAAGTTTTAGAAATTTGTAAACGTAAGCAGAAAGCAGACTAGGAGCTAGCTGTGTTGCTGTGCTGTAGATAGATAGTCTCGCTGGTCCGGGTGGTGGTGAGCAGAGACAGAGACAGCTGGGTTAATTTTGGCAACAGTCTAAAACACAAATAGTCCAGTCAACCTGTGTTTTTAGGTGGAAAAGATTAGTAACAAGCTGTTTTTTTCCATCGACTACTACCAAGAGAAGTGTTCAGCCAAAAGTCCCCACCCCTACCCCCCTTGCTTCCCCCCCTACGCCCCCCTAAACGTATAAAATGCAAGGGTTTTGTAAATCACGTTTTTCTCGATTGTTAAACAACGTATTGAATTGCAATTAGTTTTATTGTCTTTGTTATAAAATTTCCTACAATCCTGTTCAGTTAACTTTCGTCGTAGCTGTTACCGTTTGTTCGTTATTTGTATAAAAATGTAAAGATTTATATATTTTTCAACATATAATTTTATTTTTGTCGCCTTAACTTTTTTCGCTGACGTTTTATGAAAATGTGTTTTGTAAAAAAGTTGTAGCTGCTTTCATTAGCTTTAAAATGATGTATAATAGTACTTACTTTAATGAACGTCCTGTGAGACTCAGCTGGTGTAATGCAGTATGCGTACTCAATCAGTGAGCTAAGTGGGTGTTATGTATCAAGAAATAAGTCCATATGTTTTATTTATAACATCTGTCAGATGCAGCGAGCACATAATAATGGTCAGATGACTGTTTATATTATTATGTTTTGTTTACTTTTTAGTTTAGTCTGATTTGTGAGTTCAATAAATTCAGTTGTGTTAATTATGTTTCAATTTACAAAACTGGTGACGAGGATAATTGGATAATGGATCTCAATAAGCCTGATCGTTTTGACCCCCATACAAATCCTGCAAGTGTCGCACAGCGTTGGGGTACATGGATTAAGCAATTTGAGAGGTATGCTTTAGCTGCAGACATTACAAATGATGTAAGGAAAACTGCACTAGTACTTAATCTAGCTGGTGAGGAAGTGACTTACATTTTTGACAGTTTACCACAACCTAATGAAATAACGTACAAAAATGTTATAAAACTATTAACTGACTATTTCGCTCCTACCAAAAATGTCGGCTGCACTTTACTTGACGTCCTACACTCATTCGATTGTTTTTTTCGATTCGATATTTTCATTCGATTGTTTCATTCGATATATCGTTTGGTTAGTTAGGTTAGGTTAACCTTACCTAACTAACCAAACGATATATCGAATGAAGCAATCGATTAATCGATATATCGATCGATATTTTCATTCAAATGAGTGTAGGACGTCAAGTAAAGTGCAGCCAAAATGTCCTTTTTGAAATATTTAATTTTAGGAAGTGTCATCAAGCAGAATCAGAGTCGTTTAACTCTTTCTATTCTCGACTAAGAACATTAGCTGTGAACTGTGAATTCAAAGACTTGGATAGAGAATTAATTATGCAAATTTTGATTGGATCTAGAAGTGATGAGTTAAGGAATAAAATTTTGAAAGAACCTACTATTAAACTTCAGGATGTTGTTATTGCAGCTAAGTCAAATGAATTATTTCAAACTCAAAGTAAGGAACTTTCTTTCAGTAGCTCAAGTTTTGCTAATGCACATAAAATTGACCATTCAAACAGGAAATTTGTTGAATTTAACAACAATCCAGCTCACTCTGTTACACCTAATGTTTGTCTTGGTTGTGGACTAAGACATTTTAGAAGGGATTGTCCCCATCTTCAGACTACTTGTAATATTTGTAAGAAAATTGGGCATCTAGCACGAGTTTGTAAAGGAGGGAAACCACGCCCCAAAGAATATTTTAGCCAAAAACACGGATCAAAGGGACAGCGGGCTCATGAAGTTTTGTCGGAGGAAACCAATTATGAACAAGAAGAAACGTTTTTACCTCAATCAAATAACGAAACAACTCAATACGTCCAGGAAGTTAACTGCACTAAAGTACCGGAACTGTATACAACTGTCAACATAAATAATCACAAAGTTCTAATGGAAGTTGATACTGGTGCAGGTGTTTCTATCATAGGAGGAGAACTATGGAATACAATTTCTCATAAAAACTGTAAACTGCAACCTTCTCTTTGGAAACTCAAGGATTACAATGGTAAACCTGTAAGTGTTTTAGGTCAGACTAATGTTTATGTGAAATACGGTAAGTTCAATGGTTTCCTTCCGTTAGTCATAACTGAAGGTAATAGAAATAGTTTATTGGGGCGTAATTGGCTAAAAAGTCTTAACATTGAAGTAAACGGAGTACTTTCAATCAACTGTCATGAATCTGAAGTTCTTAGTAAAGCTCAGCTGGATGTTCAACATCTGAAAAGTGAATTTTCCGATGTATTTTCAAATTCTTTAGGGTGCTATAAAGGACCTCCAATCGAACTGAAAATTGACCACAA